CATAGAACTACGCACACAGGAACAACCACTCGTTGCAAAACACATAGGAGGAACAATTCGCGACAGAAACGACCGCAGCCGCAACCGCCGCACAGACGAGGTACCTTTCATCGCCGGCTGCAGCCACTTTACACGGAAAAACACAAGGTTTCGTGCTCCGGCTTCCTCCCCAACACAAAGCCCATGCAACATCATGCAGCCATTCCAATGCGATCTGCCACCACAGCTTCAAGAAACGCATAGAACTACGCACACAGGAACAACCACTCGTTGCAAAACACATAGGAGGAACAATTCGCGACAGAAACGACCCCAGCCGCAACCGCCGCACAGACGAGGTACCTTTCATCGCCGGCTGCAGCCACTTTACACGGAAAAACACAAGGTTTCGTGCTCCGGCTTCCTCCCGAACACAAAGCCCATGCAACATCATGCAGCCATTCCAATGCGATCTGCTACCACAGCTTCAAGAAACGCATAGAACTACGCACACAGGAACAACCACTCGTTGCAAAACACATAGGAGGAACATTCGCGACAGAAACGACCGCAGCCGCAACCGCCGCACAGACGAGGTACCTTTCATCGCCGGCTGCAGCCACTTTACACGGAAAAACACAAGGTTTCGTGCTCCGGCTTCCTCCCCAACACAAAGCCCGTGCAACATTCATGCAGCCATTCCAATGCGATCTGCCACTGTAATGTACAGTCGCACACCACCCTTCATCAAGGTCAATCCTTTTGTGATGTATTGTTATGTAATGCAAAGTCTCACACCACCCTTCATCAAGGTCAATCTTTTTGTTATGTATTGTTATGTAATGTAATGTCTCACACCACCCTTCATCAAGGTCAATTCTTTTCTGATGTATTGTTATGTCATGTAAAGTCTCACACCACCCTTCATCAAGGTCAATTCTTTTCTGATGTATTGTTATGTCATGTAAAGTCTCACACCACCCTTCATCAAGGTCAATCTCTCAATCGCGCACCACCCTTCATCATTTCAAGTCTCAGAATTCTATTTGTCCGTAACACGGAAGTATTGCTTCCCAACTTCCTTTGATTATGTAACAGGATCCTACCAATGATATGTGATTTAAACGGATTGTTAATGGAATATTTGCTGAAAATGTTTTTTTAATTTTCCAAATGGAACGTCTCCACTACGACTGGGGTTCATCAATTCAGGGTTCCCTCTAGCAGCGGGTCCGAGTTAAACAACCCCTAATTTGTGAATAGACCCTGCTAGACAGGGGGTTCGAAGACTGCTTCCCTTCAAAACGGCTAATTCTCAGGGTCTACCACATTGAATAGGCATAATAGGGACAAATAGGGTCTATATATTATATTATATTACATTATATTTATATTATATTATATTATATGATATGATATTATATTACATAGTATTGTATTATATTATATTATATTATATTATATAATGTTTACATAATATAATATAGTATAATATAATATAGTATAATATTATATTATATTATATTATATTATGTATATTATATATAATATTATGTATATATATATATGTTATATTATGTATACATGTATAAATGTATATATATATTACAACAACTCCAACGCCTAGGGTTTATTGAATATATAAATATATATATATATATTCATATTCTAGTGTTTACCACATTGAATAGGGTATCTATCTAATCTATCCAATCTATCTAATGTATCTAATCTATCTAATAAGTCTAATCTATCTAAGCTATTCAATTCTATTCAAGTTCTAATTCTGATTCTAATTCCGATTCTAATTCTAATTCTAATTCTATTCTATTCTATTCTATCCATCTATCTAATCTAATAAAAACTAAATCTAATCTAATCTAGTCTAATCCAATCCAAATCCAATCTAATCTGATCTGATCTAATCTGATCTGATCTAATCTAATCTAATCTGATCTAACCTATCTATCTATCTATCGATCCATCTATCTATCTATCTATTTATCTATATATCTGTCTATCTGCCTATCGGTCTATCTGCCTATCTGTCTATCTGTCTATCTGTCTGTCTGTCTATCTATCTATCTATCTATCTATTAATGTCATGTTGGAATATATGATACATAACTGGGGAAATTCGGGGATAACATCAACCATCCAATAATCAAACGTGGCAATGGAACATCACCCAGTTGTTAATTATATAATAATGCTGATTTTCCCATCAAACCTCTATCTATAGGGGATGTTCAATTGCCACGTTTGATTACCAGAGGTACATGAACAAAACATGCAAGAACCAGTTCCTGAATTCCATTCCTTGGTGCCTGCACATGTCTGGCTAACTCTGCGAAGTGCTATCCAAGAGATAATCAACCCCTCAGGTAGATGGCAGCCGGTGATTTTTATGCCTCATCCCCAGCTTTTGTCTTGGTTCCCATCATCCCAGCCCTATGATCCAAGCAGTTCCAAGCCGTCCGGCAATCAGGTGCCGTGGTTGGACACAGCAGTGGTTCGGAGACTCACAGCTCCCAGAGAAGCCAATGCATAGATACACAGTAATACAAATATATATATATATATATGTGTATATCTACATAAAGATTATGAAATACAGATGTGCATACATACACACACATGATTCACATGATTATATGTTCATATGTAGATACATTTATAGAGATAGAAAGAAAGAGGGATAGATAAATGGACGTTGCACCCACCTTGCAACTGCAACTATGTACTCACACAGTTACTCTGGACTGAATTGGGGCAACCAACAGAGAAGCAGGGGCCTGTCGTTGAGGGCAAGCAAGTTCAAGCAGCGCTTGGATATGGTTGGCCATTGCTTTAAAGATTTCAACAGATGTTCAAATGATCTGCCACTTAGATCCAAATTAGACCCAACATGACCCAACTATAGAATACTTCTATACATTTCTATACATCTTTATGAGTTTTTAAACCACCATCAACCCCTAGTGGCGCTCAACTTACATCCAATAATTGGATTTCGGGGGCCGAGCTATCCTGACTGCAACTTCTGGGCTTCCCCACTTAAGCTACGTATTTATCACCCAACTTCCCTAAAAATACACGCGGCTCAAACCCTATTTGGAATGTTCAAATCACCATTTTTGCGGTTTCAATTTCAATAATCCCGTAGAAATCATGAGAAATCACAATTTTTGATGGTGAAATCACCATTTTCGCTGGTTCCATTCCCATTTTTGATGCTTCAAAATCACCATTTCAATTTCTTCCGGCACCATCCCAAGGTGCGGATCCTGCGCTATATCGCCACAAGTGAGGTTTGGTTGGTGAACATTTGGGGATTTTTGTTGAATACATTGAATACATGGAAAAATCAGTATCAAACATCCATTGATACCATGGGACACAATCAACTGTATGGTGCTGATTGGCAAACATGGTATACAACGGGATAATAAGTATCAGAAATGGGGATTGAACCTGAAACATGGAGATAGAGTGGGGATATAGTGGGGATCATCTGGAAAAATAAACAACGATTTCAGATTTACCAATGGGATTTGCCCAATATTATATATACTGGTCCTGTCAAAAAGTAACCAAACTTGAATTTTACCAACGAACAGTGGATATCGGGCGTATCTAAAAGTACCCTAAGCATTCAATGGAAGTTGCATCCACTGCAGAATTATATACCCTCTGGTATTCTAACATAACGATGGGAAATCACCATTTTTAATGGGTAAATCCACTATAATAACCATTTTCAATAGCAAACTGTTAGTTTACCAGGACGGGTACCAGTTACCGGCCATGAAGAGGGATGTTTTTTTTGCATGTTCTGAACTTATCGGGGATGGTCATGATTTAGCCTCTGGTGTCATCAAACGTAACTGGAAATCCAGGGTTAAATCCCCTATATATATATGTATATATATATATAAGTAAATAGAGGTTTTAGTGGGAAAATCATCGAACTCAACGACCAGATGGGGAATCCACTGCCATGTTTGACCGGAGGGTAGGGCCATGGATGTTTTCATGGGATATGACGAGTGTTCACTGGTTGATGGTTTGAACATATTTACTACATCCAAAATGACCAGGTCATGACCAGTATATTTTTTGGAATGGGTTGAGGCCACCCACTTGACGCTTGCGGTTTTTTGAACTTGGCGACAATGTTGGATCTCTAGGGCCTTTTGTGAAGTATGACTGAGACATGTGTTGGAAGTCTTGATACTGTGGTTTACTTCTAGTTTGCCGTCTAAAACCTCCATTTATAGGGGATTTTCAATTGCCATGTTTGATTACCAGAGGCTAATTGGTCACAGAATTTCAGCTCCAGCTGCTTGAGCTGCTCAGCTTCATGTTCTGATGGTTGTTCCATGTTGTTCCACTCCATCCACTCCATCCATGGCTCTGTTGCGAGGCTTTTACAAACCTCATCATGTTGTTCATTGCTTTGAATGCCAGAGCCTTGGTCATCAGCATGGGGGCCACAACCGCATTCATGGGGCTGTTCAGCTGAAGATCTACGACCTTGGCGAATCTGGGATTCCCCATATCTGATATTATCTGGAACAAACTAATGAAAACAGATGTGTGAATCTGAATGTTTCATGATACATCCTTACCATGACTGGTGATCCGTGCGAATGACCTGCACTCCGTTCTGATCGCCTGGCTGGCTGAATGCGTTGCAACACTCTCCTGCGTCAAAGACCAGTTTCATCCAAAATAACCATCGCTTTCAACAGATGTTCAAATGATTCGCCACTTAGATCCAAATTAGACCCAAATACATCCAAATACAGAATCTGGTTGGTGGTTTGGAACATTTGGATTATTTTTCCATATATTGGGAATGTCGTCATCCCAATTGACGAACTCATATTTTCCAGAGGGGTTGAAACCAGTAAATACAGAATACTTCTATACATTTCTAGACCATAGATCATCTATCCATAATTGGGATTTGCAGTACATTCCCCGACTCCTCCTGTGTATCCCGGCCCCCGGCCCCCATGGCGGACGAATCGGATGATGACCTGGTCAGCTACCGCATGCGACCGCAGAAACCAATTGATCCTACGCTGATGGCTACCACCTGCGCCGGCATTGTGGTCCTTCTCACAGGTGGGGGGATAGGATGGGCCGCTTGGGCAGAACCAAATTGATCCAAATAGCTGGTCAAGGGGTTGAAACATGTTGAAATGTTGTTTGATGTTTTGGGGAACCAGTGTCAGGGACTGAACTTTTCAGGTTGGTGATTTATTTCAATTTATCCAGATGTTTATAGTATCACTCCAACTATTGTTTATTGTTTGGGTTTTAAAGAACATGAATCCATAAAAAGTGTCCCTGTGTCATGACAACCAGATGCTTCCATTTTGAGCTTTTTTGGGATTGGATGGGTTTACAATTTATCATAATTTATATATCCCAATCTTAAATGAACAACTTTTTAGCATGGGAGCATCAAACATCATCAAACCATCAGAGACTTTCGATTCGTTTTGGTCGCCCATGTGCCACGTGCCACAGGTCTTGGGTTCCTCTTCGGCGCCATTGCCAACACGCGAGTGGAGCATGTCAGTGATTACAGTCAAGAAGTCCATGAATGGGAGAAGTCTCTTGGCTCAACCAAGCCTTGGTTGTGACATGTTGTGACATCTCTATGATTGTAACCTCAGCTGAACATGCTGAACAAAAAGAGCGCTGCCCTTTATTTGGTGACCTTTCCACCAAAGATATGGATCATACCAACAGTCAGGCCACTCAGGTTCATCATCGCCCAACAATCTGCAGAATCCCTACTGATCAGAAAAAAAGGGGAGACATTGGCCCTGAGGTACCGACCCTTGCTGAAGGACACGGAGATCAGCATGTCGTTCAATCTGCCAGAGACCGCCCATCGACCTGGTGGGCTGGTAGAAAGCCAGCTGATGCAGACGGAGGAGGAAGAAACTCGTATTGAAATTAATTAAATTAATTGAAATTCATGTTTTATCACAGATTTTAGGCAATTTTTCATATGTTTCCATATTTTTTCACATGTTTGCATTCAACATGAGGGATTTACGTGGCTAAAAAGGGGAGTCAACCATTGAAAAGTCGGGATGTCAGAATTTCAGAGTCCAAACCTGAGTTTTGCTTAAGGATCTTAAGGTGATGTTTATCTTCTCCAGTCGAAAATCGGATCCATTTTGGGAATCCACTGGGATCCACTGGTTATTCACGGTAAAAACATTGGAGAATTATAGGGATATGAACCAAGCAACATGTGGAAGTGATTCGAGCACTGTCAATTTCAATAGCAAGTAATAATGTTTTTGGATGTTTTTGGATATGGCTTTAGGGTTTGTCTGAAAATCGGACAATTTATAATGGGGACCATGATCATAATACGTTGGAATTTGGGTGTAGCATGGTGTATCTTATTTTCATGGATCAAACTAACCCGGACTAACCCGGAATCTGAAAATTGTTATGCTTTTCTCCAGAGAAACTATGGTGCCTGGTGGGACTATATTGGCGCATGTTTAATCTTTCTGTTTTTTTTTTTTAAGAACATGAATTTAGTTGTCAGTTTGAAAAGAAAACTAGATGCAAGGAGAGTAGGTTGCTGCTATGTTTGGTAGGTTGATGTTTTTTTCTCATTAAATGATGAATATTGAGGAATGTGTGATATGATGTGATATATTTATATATGTATATATAATATGTATATTTGATTAAGTTATATAATATTAGTATACATAATGTCCCACGAGGTATTCTATGATATTCTCTCATTTTCTTAGGGGTATATATGTAATGATCTCCTGGATTTCCTTCCCACCTCCCCAGTGGCCGCTTTAGGATTGGGCGTTTCATGACACGGAGGAGATGAACGGCGTCGAGCAGTACCAACCTTTGAAGCATGTCACTGACTTGGAACTGCCCTGCCTTTATTCCAACTGTTCCATGGCACCTTGGCCTAGGAGATCTGGTACCGTAGGGGATGATGTCCCATGAGATGTCCGTTTCGGGCAGGGTGACTTGACCCCGAAACGGCCGAAACGGATCGGTCCTGGGCGCTCTCCAGGTGGCATTGAATGCAGCTGACAGCCTCCAACCTCGAGAAGATTGGAACGACCAGGTGCTGCCGTCCTGGGCTGATGCGCCAAGAGCTTCCTTTCACTTCGTGACAAGAGGGACAGGCCTGAGCTGCGGTCACCCCCAAAAAATGGAGGTTTAGAGCTGGGAAAATCATCGAACTAAATGGGGAATGTTTCCACTGCCATGTTTCATTGCCGGAGTTGTTGGCTGGAATGGCGGATGGAGCCTTCGTAAACAAATGTCAAGGAGGGTGTGGGCATATAGGATTTGATGATTGTTGAAGGGATTTACTTCCGTAATCAAACAACGTGCTGGAAAATACACCATTTATAGATAATTTTCCCATTGATGCGGATTCTCAATTTCCATGTTTGATGACATCAGAGGCTTCAGTGAACCGTGACTCCGAAACAGGTGGAAAGCAATCCTCCTTCAGCACACCCGCGATTCCGCTCATCTTTGACCTTCCCACGGTGGGGCAAACACCGCAGCCACGGATGTATTGCTATGGTCCAGGACATGGGGTGTTGCTACGCTTTTTTGTTGGGCAGGAGTTGGCCAGTTTTTCTTGGGTGTCATCAAACATGGCTGGGAAATCCCCCATTCACTGGCTGAAAAATGATGATTTAGTGGAATTTTAATGGTAAACCCCTGAACTGAGTGGAGGTTTATAGCTAGGAACATCATCGAACTAAATGGAATGTTCCAGCACGCCATGTTTGATTTCCAGAGGGTATGCAACCTTTCTCCACCAGCAAAGACCATCTTGTGATCCATCATGATGAGGATGAGTTTGGATCACATTGGACAGGCCTTGCAACGTTTCAGCCAGTTGGTCCCACATTACTTTGGAGGAATTGTGCAGGAGCCACCCATATTTGGGTATATTTGGTGATTTTGCTGGTATTTCCTGTGGATTTCCTCTAAAATCTGATTATAGAGACCTGCGACACACACACAGAGACAGATATATATATATATATACATATATATATATAATTATACAGTGTGTGTATATACAGTGTATATATATAATAATATATGTAATATATATAGTATAATATATATACAGTATATATATAATAATATATATATATATCATATATATATAATAGACATATATATATACATAATATATATACATATATATATATATACATAATATATATAATATAATATATATAATATAATATATATAATATATATATAATATAATATAATATAATATAATTACAATATGATACAATATAATATAATATAATATAATATATCATATTATAATATAATATAATATAATATATAATATATATATATATATTATAGTATATATACACTATATACAGTATATATATAACTATGTATATATATATACAATGTATATATATACACACTACAATACATATGATTGTAAACACACGTTAAATCCATTGTCCATGGTTTTCCTCCAGTTGTTTCCCTTCCACAGTATCCCCTAAGGAAAGATCGAAAGCAGGTGATGAAACGTGTCCATCATTTTTTTGAACATAATCCCACCTAGAAGCTGATGGAACGTATGGTTAGCAAGTCCCAGTGGCTAAACATAGTTCCTCGATTAGCCCAGTTTTGGTTACCCTCTGGTTGTTTAACATAGCCATGGAAAATGGCCCATTTATAGATGATTTTCCCATTAAAACCTCCATTTATGAGGGATTTTCCATGGCTATGTTAAATAACCAGATGGTAAATCCAGTTTTGAATCCCCAGGTTCCGCCGGCCTGGCACCTGTCACCATGCACAGCGTCTCAAAGATCTCTGTGTCGTCCTGGAGCCCGACGGCGATGGCGGATGGAAGCTGCGCAATGCCGTGGTGACGCAGTTCTTCTACAACAACAGCAGACGCCACCGGGATTCTTTTGGCGAATTTTTTCCGAAACGACTGCGGAGTCGATTCAGACAAGGGTTGTTGGCTCTTGGGGGTTAAGCAACTCCGATGTCTGGAATGAGCAGCCAATTTATGGGTTTGGAATAGGGGGAACAACATCAATCCGTTGGGGAACATGTATAAAAGTTGTTGGTTTGGGGTCAAGAACAGTCTTGACACGGGTTTGGTACCTGAAAATTGAGAATCTTTTCATGGGAAATCATGAAAATTCTGAAAATGATGCTTGATTGGAGGGGATAATTGAAGAAGTGATGATTATATCATATTTGGCTTTGGTATCTGATGGAAAAAGCTGTTCCATCCACTGGTTGTTGGTTAGCTTAGCAGCGGGGAACACCTCAATCCATAGGATACAAATTTGTTGATTTAAGGCATAAATCGGATGCGGTAAAACATGATAAAACAGAAATCTTCATATGGCTTTGGTACCTGAAAATGATGGGAACAGCCCATTTCATCCTAAGAGTTGATCATTGGTTGATCAAACCCCAAGGATGGCATGGGGGATGAGCATACCCAAATGACTCTCTCTGACCAGGCTTGATAAAAGCCAACAGAAATCCGGGATTTTCCATGGTGGTTTTCTCGTTGGCACCGATTTTTCTTGGCGGTTTTAAAGATCCGAAGCCATCCACCAGCTGACCAAAAACAGGAACTGGAACCTTTGGATGCAATCCACAGACTGGATATGAAGCCGCCACCTATCACAGAGATCCTTGCGTCTTGGATTCGGTCTTGCTGTTAGATTTGGGGGACCCTCCAGTGACAGGTGGAAAATTGCAGTTCGATGATTTTCCCGGCTATAAACCTCCATTTTGTTGATTTCCAATTGCCATGTTTGGTTGAGGGTACCCCAAACATATGTCCAAACATTCCAATTTTGATGGGAGACATGGTGAGTACTGTATCCTTAGGACCTAATTAGGATTTGTTGGATACCTAGAGAGATCAGCTTTCACAGGATACTGGGTACAGTTTCAAGCGTCATTGCCCTATGTGTGTGTACTATACATATTCAATCTATGAATAAGAGTGATAACAGTGATAACTATTAATATTTTCAGGACCAAATATGTCAACTATATGTCACTATTCATTTACTATGTATTTATTGACTTCTTTTCAGTAAACTGCGACTGCCCATTTCCATCTCTCTTTAGGTTGGGGCCCGGTGCCGAACCGCCACATCTGCCAAGACGAGGGCATAGCCCACAAGCTGCGCGTCACGGTGAGGGCCTGGCACGATCCCTACATCAAGGCCGCGGAGCTGACGCATGGCTCGATGGATTTTGGCCTCAGCGGATCCACGGAGCTCATCACCGGGAGTGTGTGGCTGGGATCGAAAACGCCGGGGGCCCATGGGGCCCCAATGGGGCATGGGGTTATGGTCGGTTGCGAAGGTTATGGTGGGGAAAAATAGATGTTGGATGAATTTAATGAATTGAATCATGGGGGAGGAGTTTGAAAAAAAGGGGTGGGACAAATTCGATGAATTCGATTGAACATGGTTTTTGCCGTGTTCTTTGGTGGGGATTGGGATAGCATTGGCTTCTCCTGAAATCCCGGGCCAAAGCTGGAGGCCTTGGGAAGCGGGTGGATCTCACCGATAAGAACCGGTGGTTTTTGATGGGGGGTATATTTGGAAGATCATAGTGATTTTTCACCACCAGCACTAGGATAACTATTGTGGCTAATTGGGATCTAAGTCTGGTTAATTGGCTAATATATGCTAATATATTAATAACTAATATGGGATTTTTCACCACCAGCACTAGAAAATATGGCTAATATTGGGATATTCTTTCGGAATTTCATGGGGTTACCCTTCGATGTCCAAAGGTGGCTGAGAACTCCCCCCCTTCCTTCGATGCTTTTGATAGGATCCAGTGGAGCTGAATGGTAGTCCCTGGCGACCAAAAAAAGTTCGAGCTTTAACTAGGAGGTGACGGTAAGCCCAAGAATCGGGGTATTATATAATTTTTGAATATTTTTGAATGTAATTTCATGTAATTTCTAAAAAGCACTGGGGATTGTTTATAGTTTGTGTGGATCCTCTATTATTGGAAACACATTATGTTCTACCGCTATCTAACGCTAGATGAAATAATCATCTGAATGGGATGGCAGTTGCTGTGTCAAAAATTGAGTTCAAAACCTGTGATTTTCCCATCTAAGTTGGAGATCAGAAAAGGACATCAAACAAACATGGCTGGGACATATCCCTTTTAATGGAGCTTTATAGCAGGGAAAAATCATCGAACTAGTGGGCAAATTTCCATAGCTATGTTTGATTACTGGAGGTTATGCTGCTGCAAAAGCTGTGCACCGAGACTTTGATCCATAGACAGGTTGGACAGGTTGTGCCGAGATAGGCTTGCGCAAAGCTCACCGACTGGTCGATGGTTTATCTCCTTGTAATCCCATTATTTACAGTGGTTCATAATTACCTAAAGAGTTACCAACTGGTATATAGTTATAGATGTTGGCTTTCTTGGCATTCCAATTTCAATGTTTGAAGATTGGGAGCTTTGACCAGTGACCTGCGGCAAATGGCAGCCACTTTTTGGGTGGGAAATGGGTCATTTTACCTCTGTACCTATCCAGTTTTGCTCCCCAAACATCTCTTTGGTGTTGGGGGCAAGCCTGATACTGATAATATCTGATAACCCATAGATCATATTGCTAGACAAAGCCATATATATATATATGATTATATATGTAATATTATATAATATAATTATCATAGTGTTGGTTATTTTTATTGTATATGTATATGTATATGTATATGTATATATGTGTATACGTACCCTTTCTTATATATCCCCATCGTGGCCATTCCCAGGTTACTCACCATGGGTTGTTTGATCGTCCTGGTACCCAACATCCTTCGGAGCAGATGTGCCATGAGAAGGCGGATGTCCAGTCATCAGCCTGGCGATCCGGGGCTGAATGGAGGGAGCCAGTGGGGGGTGCAGTTGGGGTTGTTAATATATATATATATATAGATAGATATTTGTATATATATATATAGGTATATATATATATGTAGATATATGTAGATATGTATACATAGAGATATAGATATAGATATAGATATAACCCATATAACTATTGTATATCCAATTATATCTGGAACTGCACGTCCAAGTAACGCGGTTTGGAGCAATGGTTGTGTGTATATTCTCGTCATGAAAAATGGGGGCCACTGAGCTACGAAGAGAGTTTCCCAAATACATGATAGTGGTATATAGCTGAGAAGAATAATCAAGAAAGAATGTGGGGATAGAATCATATGATGAGGATACAATGCGATGGGTGGTATTTAACCAGCCAAATGGCTATGTTGAATATGCAATGTGGTAGTTAACCAGCCAAAATGGGGACCCAACTGACTCAACCATCAAACAGATGGACTTCAACAAGGAATGCCCAACCCAACTTCAGCATTTTTGAACATTTTCCGTGTGTTTCCTGTGAATTGTCCCTCAAACCGTGGTTTCGATTGGGATTTTTTAGCCTCGAAAATGACCAGGTTTGAGATCCATTGGACCCCAGAATAGGTTCGGATGTTGCCATCTACAAAGGTCTCTGATATCGTTGAGATGAAAGGGGAGTTCCCACATTCCACACCACATTTGGCCATACCCAAGCATCCCAAGTGCTTCCCCAAATGGTTTTTAGTCAACACCCCGACAGGTTGAAGAAGCTTACCAGAAAGGCTGCCTCACCACAAGCGCGATCCTTTGGCCGAACAGGGCCGGGCTCTGATTAGCCGGTCTTGGAGAAAAGATACCACCAACATCCAACATAATTTTTCAATTTGCATTGTCTTTTACAAATTCAAATAGCGAAAAGCGTGAACAAAAAGTCGCCAGAGGGCGACGTGTTTCACCATGGCCATGGCTGGGTCTTCTGTCCTCCTCAAAAGTCTGGAAGGGTGTCCCTGCCTGTGCAGTGTAGGTGGCCAGGTGATTCAGTACAGACTGCTGCATCGGCCCAAGGCCCTTGCGATTGATCCACGAAAAAACAACGACACCAGCCACGGATCGATGGGCGCGGCAAATGGGAAAAAAACAGGAGCCATGAAGTTTGAAGGTCCATGGATTGGTTTGTTTGGGAAAGCGTGCAGGAAACTTATGGCGCTTCTAATCTCATTATCCCTTCCCCCTGTTGTTGAATCTCCCAAGAACAGACTCCGAATTCAAAACTGTTGATTCCAAGGTGGATATGACCAATATTAGGGAGATATAATTACCAGTTGCCATCAAATCAAATCTATGTGGCAACAACAAATCCTCAATTTGAGGGTGATGTTTGCTATTCCAGATCATGATTTTCCGATTTTCCATTGCTAAAGTATGCAAAAGTATCTTACAGTCACCCGAACTGGCACCTTTGTGCATCAAAAAAGTGGGGGGATAGGAGCAAATCATCGAAAATCTCCAGCTCTTAGGTTGCACATGGAGTTTTTTTCCGTATGTTTCCCTTCAGATTGCCATAGGTCCGTAGCCTCTGTCAAGGATCCATCCCAGAGTGATATGGCCACCACGATTAGTTCCACTTTGACTTCGCTCTCAGGGGCTTACTTCTACTGTGTGTATATATATATATATACATATAATTAGATATGATATGATTACATAATATTACATATACTATATAATATATATGACTATATATACATACATGATTATATATATATATATGAAAATATCTACTGTTATCAGATGAACATATGAAGTAGAGGGCTGCCTTGAACTTTGCCTACCTTCACAAAACCCTCACAACCGATAGGGACGACGAAGCTGATACCCCTCAATTCATCTCTTAAATAAAAGACTTAACAACTGATAGGGGACGAACCAGTTTTGCACGTAGCATTTAGTTGCGGGTAATAACAACATCGCCAGTCACTCATATTATATATAATGATGCTATATACATAATACATACGTATAACATTTAACAAACATTGTATTATCTGTATATATTGACACATTCCATTTTTTCATCTGTATGTATATATATATACACACATATATATATATATATATACATAGATTCTGATAATAACATGATAATAACTATATTTTTATATAATATCATATATATATACATATTTTAACATGATAACTATACAAACTTCGGCCTTCCCCGTCCTGGTTCTCCCGGGTTCTCCCGGGTTCTCCCGTAGGTGGTGACCATGATGCTGGATGGCTATCCTCCCATCCTGGAGCTGCAGGCATCGACACATTTCTGCTAATATAATTTGTAATAATATATATATATATACATTTTCCAGAGGTAATAGTAAGTGATTATGTAATTATGTGTATATATATATATACATAGTTATATATATATATATTACCATTTGGTAAAAATGAACACTGTTTAGTTGAAACTAGTCTTCCAACCCCTATTTACCAGGGTCTATGTTAATTTACTGGAGGGTAATAGTCAGTAATTATATATACATGTATAATCAATGCTATGATGCCCTGTGGATCCGAGGACCTTACCTTCTTACAGAAGGTCTTTGGATCCATAGGAAATGGTGATGAATCTGGACATGAGAAACCTTGAGGCAAACCCCACATCTTCGCGGGACAAGAATAACCGTACCATCCTTTGCAGTCATTATTTTCGATGGAGTTAACTCTCCAGTTTATTTGGTTAACCAACCTAAACCAGTGGCTCCGTTTCACCTCGGATACTTCACGAGCAGGCATAGATGTCCTTTCCCACTGGTTGGTTGATTAATTATATAGAGGGTTCCCCCATTCAACAACCTGTAGACGACAATATATGATGTTTTTTTTTCCAAAAGGAGCATATTGCTAGCAGGACTTTTTGGCCACGTGTGAGATCGTCTTTCTGGTGATCTTCTGCATAGAGATGTGCATCTTGCAGCTTGGAGATGGTGATCCCAACCCAAAGGTGATTTTCACCAACCCAAACGAATAAACAACCATGTTTTTCCTCAAAAAGAACGGGAGTTGACTAGAGTTGCCATATTGGTGGTGTGTTGTTTTTTTGCCCAACAGCATTTTCGGATTTTGCCAAATTTGCCAGCAAAGACGGGGCAGCAACCAATGGGGTTTACTGCATAAAATAAGATCGTAGCAGCAAGAACTGGGGAGTTGAGTGGCGATATTTTCTCTGGTGATTTTGAATAGGAACAGCAATCAGATGGGTAAATCATGGGGATGACTATTGCAATCACAGGGGTATCAACAATCATCTGGATATTGGTCGTGCCCATTTCCTAGATGTTCCATCCCTTAAAATTGGCGGCTCGACCACCATCCTCTGTCGTTCCAAGATGCTTCAAGAATCTAAGAATCCAAGATTGATAATTGGTGTGGGTGCGGGTCAAGAAAGAAGGCATTCAGGACCACAGTTACTTGACTCTCGTCCTAAGGCTTGGTGCTTACGGGCCTTGCAGGCTGATCTGGAAGATGGCTGCAGTAAGTTACCCTCCAGTAAACTAACAGTTTGCTATAGAAAATCACAATTTTTAATAGGTAAATCAACTATGGAAATGGGTCATTTTCCATAATTAGTGTTAGTTTACCGGAGGGTATATCCTGTTCCTTTTCGACATACAGGTTATTTCAGGAAATATCTTAGCATTTTGTTTGGGCCATGGGGTTGTCGCTGACGGGTGAGTCTTCACTGGTAGCCTCAAAATGAAAAACATATCAATGAGTGAAAGCCTCAATCACCCAATGACACCACAAAGTGCGGGTTGGATGTGGGTATGGGTCTGACAAGACCCAAGAAAACTTTCAACACTACCCTCCAGTACACCGCCATACCTATGGAACATGACGCATTTAGTTCGATGAATTACCATTTTTTTCAAAGGGTGATTTTCCAAAGCATGTAATTAACCCGTGTCTCTACTGATATCCCCATGAATATCCCATCAAAACCCACCATTTTCGATGGTAAAATCGAAACAAATCCGTATGTTTGACAGTTACAGTTACAGTTCAATCACCATATATTCTCCCCTATTCCCATTCTATTCTCATTCTATTCCCATGAGTCATGGAGGTTTCCCAAGTTATGGGATATGGGGGTACCCTCCATCTGGGACGCCTGTTCGAAGCCATTGGCTTCGCTCTTGGCCTTTCCTCTGGTCATTTGTTCACGACATGGCTAGGAAATCTCCATATTTATTGGAATTGAATAATATATATATATATAATTATATATATTTGCATACATGATATTATCTATATAAAATAAAAGTATACATATACTTATATAATCTGAAAAGCTATAAAGTTTTCATTGCGAAGTAAACAAAATTGGGTGACCCACTCAAAACCCACCACTGAATCCCCCAGGTCTCAGCCGGGGCCGTCGGACACCAACAGGTACGTGAGAACTCCTGCCATGTGTTTCGACGGCATCATTGTGACCGTCTCCGTTGTACAGGTGCAACTTGTTTGATGGATGGACTTCCCAGCAACCAGTAAGGTCAGAAGACACATCATCCCAAATTAGAGTATATAGTATGTATGATCATATAAATGGATATATATATATAATGTAATATAATATAATATAATATAATATATAATATAATATAATATAATATAATATATAATATAATATAATATAATATATAATATAATATATAATATAATATATAATATAATATAATATATATATTGCACCCTAATTTACTAATTTTCATACACCCCAATTGGAGATGGTTTTAACTCTTGAGTTTAGCTCACTACTTTGTACCTGTTGCTTGCAGTGCGCTGTCAAATCAAATGGACATGGTCTTTCCATTTCAGTTTCTGCTGACTCTGACTGGATTCTGAAAGGACACGGGTCAATATTTCCGTCTCAGCATAATTTGACAAATCCCCGAAATTCAACCGACTATGCAGGGTTCCTCCCAGAAATTTTGGTATCGCTAATAAGTACTCGAGGAGACAATTGGGATTATGATACCCCAATGACAAGCCGTTCGATATCGTTCGATTCATATTTGTACCTGCTTTTTATATCTTTTTATTGGCTACAAAACCGATTCTTGATGATTCTATCTCCATACTTGATGGTCAACTACATCCCCGTTTTGAATGATGACATTCGAATTTTGGAGGAAAGTCTGGAAATGCTAAGAAAAACTCAAGAGGCTTCTTGATGCTTTGCTCCCCAATCAAGCATGGCAAAGGAAATCCAGGGATACTGCGATTCTTTCGGCAAAAAAAACAAATTTAGTTTGGGGATAGTTTGGGCTAATCCCCATGAGAGCACCCATTTTGGCTGTCGGTGGATGCAACAAATCCACCGCTCCTCCAGGTTTTAACTTCACCAGATGGACAGGGCGGGCCCTTCACGGCATTGCGGACCTTCCGGCTCTTCAGAGTGCCACGCGCCGCCTAAAAACCCGTCCTTTTTTTTGGAGATTCAACCAGGAAAATGAGGATTTAGCCATCCCAAATTGTGATATAATGGAGATATCCTAGGGATAATTGGGCTGTCACCGCCTGACATTTGGACTTACCCATCAAAAATGGGATTTGACATGATTAAACCCAATAAACATGGGGATTGAACCAAGAAAAATGGGTATCTCGCAGGATATCATGGGGTTTCCTATGGAAAATTAGGATCATTGACCTATCTAGTGGGGATGGAGGCAGCTGTGAACGGAGCGATGGTTGTCCGTATTCTGAAAAATGGGGAACCACGTTACGAATAGACTCTCCACATGACATTGGAATCATTGGATTTTGGCCATTTTTTGTTCTAACCAAACCCCGGTGATTTGATCACAGTGGATTTTCGCCAAGATTGGGATTCGACCCACATTCCTCATGGTTTTTTTCTGCCAGGAACTGAAGATCACATCACTGGAGGGGTACCACCTGATTTCATGTTCCAATGGGATGATGATCTCTTTTTCATCCTTCATCCTTCCATTTTTACCACCGAACGGTTGATTGGTCGATTGGTTTCTTCAGAACCTGGTGGATCTTGGGGCCGGCCGTGGCAGATGTTCTCCAGTGGTGATGTAGATCCAAGTCATCCAGCCCGTTAGTCTTGTCGAAGAAAACTCACCAAATTGTTGGTGATTCAGTTCTTCCATGCTAGTTCATTTATCCCAGGTTTTTTTCTACATCCAGTTATTCCAAGATATTATAATATTCTTTTCAAAACTATCCTGATCAAAGTTGAGAGTATCCCAAACCCAAGGTGCTGGATTTTTTAATATTGAATAATGTGGTAAACGGTAAATCCAATAACAATCACCATCCGTAAAGTCACCATAAATGGGTGGTACAACCCAGGTTTATGAAATATGGCGTTGGGTTGCCCACATCATTCCAACTATCCATTCTTATTCTTAGTTATACACCCATTATATCCCATTATTATATATTCAGTATTCACCATTGTTAACCATATCAATATTCCATGCTTCCACCATTTTGGATGGTAAACAAACCTAATGTTTGATGGTTAATCCTTATTATTCCACATGATTCCAGGAATCATGGCCGCAAGGTGCTAAATAAGTTGGCCAGCCGATGGCCCTCCTTTCGAGTTTTGCTGAAGGCCATGGCCAGTGGCGACACCGGCGGCCCCCACCTTGTAGGTGATCCCAAGTCTCATGATGTGTGCTTGTTCCTGGTCACAATAATTCAACTATGCTCCAACCAGTAGTCATCAAAGGGCCTGGTTGCTTCTATGATTTGTTCTCGCTAATGAACATTTCTAGCCTGGAATGTCAGCTTTAATCCCGGTGAAAACCGGATGCGGCGTGTATTGGTTGTGGAAGGGTCCACCATTGCTACCGGGTCTTGGGCGCCCGAGCCTTTCACATACCTGGTCTTATTACCTAGCTGTCTGATGCTGGCAGGCAATGCTCTACACGGGGAAGTCATTGAGCTATTGGATTGTCTTGCCCGGATCCACAGATGGCTCTGAACAAATTGCCATGTTCATACGTTTTCAATGGACATGATTATCATAGGACATCAAAACTGGAGGTGCCCTATTTCATTTTTTTTTGAACTCAGATGTCGATTGTGGCATTCGGGGATTAGTTTTTCCACGACTTTACAGACATCACGACGCAAATGATGGCAATTGGAGGGCCAGATGAGCGTGCTTTTTGGCTGAATTATGATGACGTTTATCCACATGTACATATATAATCATATATATACATAATTATATTATATATATATATTATATCAAATTATATCGTATATTGTGTTGTATCTCATGACATTTCATTTTAATTTTATCATAGTTTATCCCCATATATTGGATGTGCAGAGGTCTCTGTCCAATTTGAATGGCATACCCTGCGGTGATGGTCCGGGGGCGTCCAGTTCTGGTTGAGCTCCTCCATATTTATCCATCTAGAATCCAAGGCATTGGTTTCTCATCCTCTGACCTTTTCAGATGTGACAAGATCAGATCCAGGCGCTTGAAGCCATGCCTAGGTTTTCGTTGGTGCTCTATATTTGCACCCTGATGTTCATGCAGCTTTTCAATCGCAAGTTCCACTTTCTTGCGGCTCCGCCTCGCTTGAGAACGGCGCCAGGCCGATGCCTTTTTTAGAACTGGTTGAAAACTCACCACCCCATGGCCCAGTTCAAACAGGAAATCCATCGGGAAATCCATCGGACAAAATGGCGGTTTTCATGGCTTTCATGGCTTTCAGAAGTGCCAGGATGTGGATAGTCTGGCAGAAGTGGGGCCAGATCAGGGCCAAGCATGGTCGGGCACTCGGACTACGGAGCTAAGGAGGAACCAGATATTTTAAGCCCCCCAAAAAGGCCTATCTGGATCCATGAAACTGGGGAAATCGTAGAATGAATAGGAGCATATAGGAGCTCAAGATTTAGATCCTAGCTTTGGGATTGAACATGGACCAAGATATACGGAGTATGGGGTGCCATTTAGAGCTCCAGGTACGTTCCGTCGACAAAGTTATGCTGAAATCAAGTATAGTGATCAAATGGTATTTGCGCCTGCTAGCAAGACTATCACTTTTCAGGGGTGATACCACTAAGAGGTGATTTTGATAGCAACAAATACCCTTAGGTGGTAATCGTATGTAATCGTCCATTAATCGCTATTTTTCTGGTCCTGTACCAGCCATGAAGGTTGCGCTTTGCAGTTCTCGATCCCATCATGATCTAAAATTCTACCCTCTGAACTCTGGCAATTTAACCAATTGAAAATCACCACTTTTAAGTGCAGTAAATCATAATGTTTATCATCAATGGGCCATCTATAACATAGCTATGTAACACATAACCAGAGGAAACATCGCCAAATTCCCTCAAGTGGCACCCCAAAAACAACAGATCCGATACATGGCCCCTGGGTTCCAGACAGCTTTGCGACGTGGCAGGTGTGAGGGAACCGATGGCTTAGCGGAGCCATTCCGCCAGGAATGGGATGGGGGAAACATGGGACTTTCCATGATTTATAATGGCAAATCCGAAAATAACATGGATGATTTGGGGGTACACCCATTTTCGGAAACCTCCAAAGGATGAGAAAGATGGATGAACTGATTTGTTTTGGGGGTACTCCATTTTCAGACGAAGGCACATGGAACCATCCAAGAATCGTCAAGAGTTTTAGGTTGCTGAATTGTGCTTATTGTGATCATTCAGCTGGCGAGATCAGTGAATTGTTGGGGCCAAAGGAAGACAACATGTACATACATGTACCAACTTGTTCATACTTACGGACCTAGTCTTAGACCTCATTTGTGTCTGGTACATTTGGATGGCTAGAAACGATTTCTGTTTGGAATGCCCTGAAGCAATCGTTGTTTTTGTTCACTGATTTGAGATGACGATTACTTCAAGAGTTGACGGATCATAAGTGGAAGATCCCACAAGTTTTTGATTTTTCTGGAATATCCTGAACATTTTAGATGAATTCAAGATTGATGGATCCTGAAGTTTGTTGGTATTCCAGGCACTTCCACACATTCTCCATTATCATTGGTTGATTTGCAGCCACCCACCATCCAGCTGTGGCAGGATTGCATTCCCAGGGCCAACTTTGATACCTTCCTCTGGTCGCTGGCCTTGGCCTTGGTTTGCCCCCGTGGCTGGCCGAGGACCAGGGGGGACTTGTTGGATCATAGGTCATGTTGGATTTCAACAATAGGACCTTGGCATACCTTGGCTCCAATCATCAACCCCAATTTCTCTTTATGAAACCCCAATTTTGGTGATTGAAGTGTGGGTTTGACGCACTTTCAACCTCCATTCCATTGCGATGATGGTCTTGAGGGATTCGATTGCACTATCCGACACCTCCAGAAAGATTATCGCGAGCCACGTCTGCAGACAAATACTGTACTGACAGAACTGAGCAAAACATACATAGTCGAATGAGGCGGGCCCTGAGATAGATAGAACAACAGAGAACAACAACATTTTCGCTGATCATTTTCAGGTTTCTATAGTAATTAATTTGATATATTTACATAGATATCAGATATCATATATAAATCTGTACATAAATATCCCTCAGCCAAACCTACAATAGTATGCAGTCTTTTAGCATGTCGGATCCATTTTGGGGTCACCATAGGTGTCCATCTTCCAGATCATGACTGGTCCGGCTCCAAGACTCGCCCAAATGTGGTTTTTCAAAAACGCTGGACCCCTAAGGTCAGTTCATTGTCCCCAATTCGAATATGATTAATGGTGATGAATGGTGATTAATGGTGATTAATAATATAGCCAGTAGGTATTATCACCTCCAACAAAAACCAAACAATCATGCTACGAAAACGATGGCTCAATGAATATTTTTCAAACATTTTTAAACCAGGAGATTGATGGGGAACTAACCCACAACATGATGCAGTGGATTTAGCTGTCAAGCATCGACAATTGCGATTTACGTGGATTTACCCACAGAATGGGCACACAGAATGGGATGTCCCTAAATGGCCACTACTTTTATTACGGAAACACTTCTTCTCCATGGACTTTGGGGGTATCCTCTCAGACAGCCGATGGGAAAATCGATGGGAACGGCCTATGTTTTCCTTCAAGCAACTCCAGTTGCCGGTTGAGGTGAAAATTGGAATACCATCATGTATGCCCAGTCCTCAGATGTCCAAAATCTGGTGCGCTGGTCATGTCTTTCCAGCCATTGATGGCTCAACTTGTATACATCCAAGGCTGGATGGTTTCATATAACCAAGGCTCATATATATTTATATATAAATATTGTGTAAATTGTTATATTCCAACACATTTGTAGGTTTAACACCTACAAATTCACATATTATGGATTCATCCTGACCAATTGATCCAACCCAGGCGAGCCAGGGGTCAAGGTAAAGTAAGGGTTTACAATTGGAGATAAGGATAATGCTCATAAGGGTGCCCATATTTATCCATATATATATATATACATACGTATACGTATATATGTATATGTATATGTTCATGTACATGTACATGTATATGTATATCCCTGACAATCGATGTGGACAAATAGGTCTAACATAGCAATGTAGTCAAAATTTGGCTACGTCTACGTTAAACACCAAATTTGCATACATTTGTCGGAACTTGTTGGGTTTTGTCGGAAAACCCTTGGGATTTTGTCGGAATGACGCCTTGGAGTGTGGATCGGGACTTTTTGTGAATGTGCCGCATGTATCTATATAGTTGAAACGGTTTTATGTTAACTTGATATGATCATAGCTGGTTAGAATATACGAGAAATCATTATCATCATCAAAAGATAGGCCCATTAAGGTTTCAATCGATACTATGATATGTAATCAAGCCGATGAAACGTGCCATTGCACGTCATCGGGAAGCCCAGCGGAAGAAGCAATGTCGTGGTGAATCGGATTCGGTGCCAACTGCATCCACTGCATGGGGGCCATTGCACAAATGGGGAGGCGCGCACCCACCCCTTGCCATGGGCTGGGAGAACGTGTTTTTTTCGCATTTACAATCTCAATCATAGATAATTTTGACTACATTGCAATGTTAGACCTATTTGTCCACGTCGATTGTCAGGAACATATACTGTATAATATAAAAAACTAAATAGGTATTATGAATATATATATATATATACATATGTGTGTGTTATCGATCCAATATATACTTATATATTCACAGCTATATTGGATCATGCATCCAATCGTGCCACTTGCCTTGATCCCGGATTCCATCCCGCCATTTCCCAAAGCATTTTTCTTTGCTTCGATCTCGGTGGTTTGCGCCATTCCCTTGCCTGCCGGCCATGGATACTGGCAAGGCACAAAAGTTAATTTTGGAGGACAGTCTGAGAAATTGCAATGGGCTAAACTTTGTGGAGTGCTGGGTCTTCTCTTACTGAATGTATCTGTGTAAATGCGCAATCAGCCCTTATGCTTTATTTGGGGAATTTGCTGAATGTTAGAATGAGTTTTTAGTGATGATTGAAGCAGGTAGGGTTACCCTGTAGGGTTACCCGGTAAGGTTCAAACCATGCTTTAGTTTTCCATCTCCATGAGCCCTGCCTTGTACTCGCAGTAATCTCCAGGCCTTTCCCTTGCCACCTGCAATAACATTTTTTGGAATTTTGCAAAGGTGACCATATTCACCCAAATGGCATTATCAAATGATATGGTTTCTCTTTTACAAAAATTGCATATGGTAATATCTCAAAATAGAGGTGCCCGAAACTTTTTATTGATGCATGAAAGCAAGTTTCGGGCACCCCGTCTGGAGATTTTCCCAAGAAGTATAATTTTCTTAATGATATCCATGGGGGCTTAGTATAAGTAACTACCGGCATTGATTGGAACTATATATGCTGTGCCAGGACTTCTTGAACAACTACTTCTTGACCAATGCAGAACGAATCAGACACGACAAGGACCATGTTGTCCTACATGTTCCCAAGGAAGGACCTGCTTCAGCGGAAATGGTTCCCCGGATTGAATTTCAAAAACCTAAGAGGGACATGCTTCACAAAACAAAGTGATAGTGCAAAATTGTTGTTTAGTAGTACGTGCTTTGCCACACCAGGTTGAAAACCATTGGAAGCTGGCATTGGAATTCTTTGCTTCATCCCCCGACTACAACATTCCCAATTTGAAGATCCATCAGGACTGAACCAGTTTGTTTCAAGAGATGATCTGGTTTGTCCTCCAGTTCGTGTAAAGTTCCTCAACTTTAGGGTTTGTATCACATTTTTGAAAGCAAAACACATTGAAATCACAAAACCATATATATTAATCATCTAGTGAAGTGTTTGGGACATAGCAAACTGTTTCTTTTTCCCTTCCTCAAACAGAGCTTCCGATTGGCAAGGAGACTTTGATCTGTTTGGCAAAGAGATATGGCATCTTTGCGAAGCAGAAGGGCTATGGCCGCATAGTGAAGGCTTGGATTTTTTCTTTGTGTGGGCGCAAAATTCCCAAATACTCATCCACGCGTGTGTTTATTTCTATTTTTCTGCTTCCCATCGTCCCAAAAACCTCAGAAAAATAGTCGACGGGTATACCGGTATACCACCCAGCAATCCGAAACAGATATGCTTGGTATACATAAAGATTAACTTGCTTGCCCGCTTCAGGATTGGGCTCGGCAAGAAGCTCCTGCTATCCGATGTTTGCTGGTCCATACCTTGAGTTTGGTGAATCGCAGCAAGTCTTCCCGCTCGCCTTACATCCGGACCTTGAAGGAAACTTTGCATTTGCTCCTGGCCCAATCAGGTCGGGTCTGGCATGAGCATCGGGTCTAACGATCTAATTAAACGAAATCTAAAATGCATGCATGATATCCTGCTGCTAAAAGAACATCCAGCACAAGGAGCTAACCGAGATGTAATGTACCCGTATACATGTTGCCTAATCCTACATGTTGGTCTTGTATGCCTGCATCGATTGTCAGGGATATAATTGTGTACTTATTGAAACATATATATATGCGAAACATCTCCATGCACACACGCATATTATATTATATTTATATATGTGCATATACAGCATTAGACATAGAGATTTTGATTCCATTTCTAGCTATACCCAGACCTTGTTGCATGTATTCTGTGGCCTTCAAAAACACTCGGTCCCGGGGAGACTTGACAGGAGCATCTCCAGAGGCAGGAATTGAGGCAGCGCTGGAGGCAGCCACTGCTCAGGACGGGGTACCCTTTACTAAGTTGCGCATAAGGGAAAATGCCCTTGTCTAACAGTTCTGTATGGAGGAATACTGTAAACTTCTGGAAGTCCTTTAGCCATTTGGGCACCCGAGTGATGCAACTTTAGTTTGGATGGATAATCCCTGGAGGAGGAAGGCGAGGAGGCTTCCACACCATCTTCAACCTCTGCATCCCCACCATGTGGGATAAAGGCACCCACGCATCGGCATCGTGGCAAAGCTACTTGCCTATGGTAAGGGAATATACAATTTGATCTAGCCCCCAACAGGAATGATAATTTATTTGTTTGATCATAAATATGGTGGGAATTCTATTCTGCAGGGCCTGATGTTGTCTACAATTACTGTGTTGTAACCGGTTCCATTGGCACTTGTGACAGCTCCAGGCTCCTCAGAAGTCGATGGATGAGTTGGAGACGCAACTTGAGATGACCATGGATGAACTGATGGCGGAGCCGGTGGAGCCCACAGGTCAGGATGACACCAGCAGGCGTCAAGCTGCGAAGGACTGGTGTGCTACCATGCATGTTGACACCATTGTCCTTTGAAAATGCCCCTAGATGAGGATAAATAAATAAGTAAATAAATAAATATATATATATATATTATATTCTTATTTGACCGATCTATGTGTCGAAATAAGAAGTGGGTTAAGATTATAACTATCAAAAAGCTATCAGACATTGCCTCATCCACATGGAAGGAGACCAAACCTTTGATGATTTTGAAGCCCGACATGCCAGATGTGTCAGCCAGCTCCGTCAAGTTGGAAGAGGTGGAGGTGAACACTGATGCTTATAAAGCCCAGTTGGTTCAGCAAAAGGCCAAGCGGGTTGAAGCAGCTGAAGCTTTGCTGTCCAAGGCAAATCAAGATCCCAAAGCTGTCAAGAAAACACATACCAAGAATGCACGCGGCCGGGGCCGCGGGGGTCGTGGCAGGGGGCGCGGCAAAACCCCCAACCAAGATGACCAGGAACCTAGTGCAACCACTGCTGATGATGAACATAAGGAGGGCATGGGTGATGAGCATGTTGATGAAAAGCCAGGCGAAGGTGATGAAGGGAATTCCGTCCCCGAAAACAACGGAGAAGGTGGTGAGGCTGATGGCAAGAAGAAGTACAAGAGAAAGACATTCACCAATGATGAGTTAGATGTGATGTGGAAAGACCGTGTTTCCCGTTACGGTTGGAGGTTGTTTCACACACGTACTTACAACATGGGGTATAAAACATTACAAGAATTGGCGGTCCTAAAGATCAATATAATACAGTATCAAAACAGACTTATATATATATATATATATATTGGTTGTCTATCGTATTATCATCGTACCCATGTTCCCTTTTATGTTAAAGCAAGATTTGTAAACACAAAGAGAAACAAATAGACCCAATATAATAATTCAAAGGCTCAACTTCTGATTGTTGAGTTTACTCTCTGGAAAATATTCTAATCCTCTGTCCCTTCTCTTGGACTATCAACTCTGAGGTTCAAGAGTTCAAGCAGATTGGCATCAACATTCCGGAGGACTACGATCACTTGGCCGCAAAGAGCTTCACCTTGAAGCCGCCCGCATCCCGGGATGATCTTGGATCCCTGGGTGTGCTGTGACTTGGCCAATTATGCAGGGAAGCTGGGTATCTGTCTGTGTGTGTGTGTGTCTGTGTCGCTGTCACCGTCCGACAAAAGAGTTTCCCATGTCTCCTTTCCCCATTCAAAGTGCACCAGCTTCAATTCATGCTGGCCACCTGCAACCCAGAGGGAAGTGAAGGGTAATGCTGTCGCTGCGTGGTGTTGCCAATCAATGAGGGGATAGTTTTGGTTATTTAACATACCTGATACCAAAAATAATCGACATTATAAAATGAATCTTATATATATATATGTATCCATATATATATATATATTATACGAATCTATATATGCAGGCACATACACTTAAGAAACAAAGAACATGTTGGGGCTAGAATCAATACCAAGGTGGACTTTGGATCAGATCTACGTGAACCGCGTAATCAACCCCGGTGCTGACACGTCGGTGAAGACGAATAAGAGGGATGGGGCAACACTGAGTATCCGGAAGAGGGGGTGGGCCAATTCTTTTGAGCTAGCCCGTCAGTTGGCTGGTTGGATCTGAAGCACAATATCTATATAGATGTGAAATTGGGGCAAGTCAGCCTGGCCATGGCTCGGACGTTTAAGTCTTCAGTTTAATCTTTCTCAAACCCGAAATCTTCACTATATTGCATTGCAATGCATACATTATACATGTCCATTTATGTTTTGAGCGAATGCTGTGGCCAGTCTGTCTGTATGTCAGATAAGACAATATGCCACTGTGTAATTGAACACGGTGTGGAGTCATCGAAACAGCACTTTGCAGAGCTTGGGGAGAAAACAACAGGACTGTTTGTATTTTCCAACCAGTTGGGACTGCATTCTTTCAGCAATGATTTTATCTGTATGACGCCAGTAGAACCCCTAGATTTGCAGTGACCTTATAGCACCTTATTCGGTATGCACAATACTGGATTCAAGATCGTTTGCTCTCTCTCTCTCTATATGTGTGTTGTTTGAAATTCTAAGATTTTGCCCCAAGCGACTCTGCCTCTCACGGCGTCCCAGCAAGAGTCAGCGTTTCAAAGCCCATGGCGGTCGGCCTGACCAAGCGGAAATCCCTTGCCCTTCTTTTCTGGGGCGCCCCAGTCCTACTGATGCTTGGATAATTCTATTGGGTTGGATGCGCATACATACAGCTGACTGTTTACAACTGATGGCTAGCATTCAAGTCAAATGCAATACTTATTCACAATAAATGTATTTTTGGGAATAGGGCAACCAAAATTGCCAACTGCCAACAGGGTCAAATAAGAGTTTTCTCGGCCTCCTGCAACTAAAAAAGAAGATATCGTGCGTCAAGGTTCTACAATAGGCGCATACCCACCGATATCTTGCCCAGGATCCATGCCGTGGATTTCTGCATGCAAGTGTGGGCTTCAGATCATGCAGAAGGCAGCATGAGGGATACTTGGATACAGTTTTGGCGCTAGCGGTTGGGTCAAAGTTAAAGTCGAGTTCAAGAAGTCATCCCCATTTTTTCATTCATTTGGATAAGCCATTGTAGCAAACTAATTCATGCTTTTGCCTGTTTCACTCTTTCTCGCGCTTAGTCCGAGGATTTGGATATGCTGGAACTGTTTAGTGGAGAAGGGCAGCTCACCCACCAGTGCAGCAGCCCGTCTGAATCATTCCATGTGTGCGGGGTGTGGGATGAACTAAACATATATTAATAAAAAAACAATGTATGTATATATATATTATGTATATGATATCAAAAGGATGGTATAGACCTACATGTACAATACATATGCACGGTCTCGCTTCATGTCAATATGTATGATCACTCCCGCCATTCGACTCTGAGGATCCTATGGCATTGATTGCCGGAGCTTCGATATCCTGAAGAATCCCTTGCACGATCTTGCTTCGGCCGAGGGGTTTTGCATAGCCTTAACCAAAACCCTCAGAGTCAAACGCAATGGCGTTATTTGGGGAGGAAATCCATGTTCATCGTCACTTGCTTTATTTTAATTTTGGGACTGGTCCTTGGCTGTTTTGTTTGTTCAACATCCACCATGGAGATATAGCAGAAATAATTTTAATCTGTTTCCACATATGGGATGACTTGCGACCACAAAACTTCTTGATTATCAAATCCCAGTAAAGGCCTACATAGCACCAAAACGCCCTGCTATCAGGTGGATTTGGATCTCAGCCCACAGTACGAAACGCCGCAGCTCCCTGGGGGTTATGGGTGACGAAGAGGTTCCCTCAGTGGCCCTTGCTAATTGCCTAGCGGCAAGATTCGCACTTCTGGCTATGGTTTGTGTGGTAAGGGGACTGTTTTGGTGTGTTCCTTGGCAAACAGACCCATGGACCCTTTCCAGCCTTAATTTTGGTTCAGCTTTCCAATACCGTATTGACCTGCCAAGCAAAGTCGTGGTGCCAAGTTCAAGGACCCAAATAGCACAGTACACGCACATTAATGAGAGAGAGGGGGAGAGAGATAGAGATATCTATAATATATATATATACTTATTTATTTATTTATTTTACTTATCTATTGATTATCATTTTTTTTTGATTTAACATTATCTATTTGGATATACATGTGAATTAAATACATATACATGTCGTATTTGTTATACATATATAATCCAGATCGAGGGCATGCTAGACGTTGTTGCACGTTTATCTGTTTTATGTTCTATATATATATGTGTGCATTATATGATAAGTCTATGTTTTATTCTATATGTGTATGTTTTATATTCTATATGTATTTGTTTTATTCTATGTGTATTATGCCAACCCCACGACGTCACTAAAAAGTCAACTTTTTGAGGGGGTCTTTTTCTTGGGCCGACGTGAGTGGAAAATTAGCAGGTAGAACACTCATATACTCTTGATAGCGTTATTTTCCTTAATGCCACAAAACCCATTGCATTGAGGTGGAGCAGCCAATGTCTTCACTTCTTCCCCAATGTCCATATATGGCCCATGTGTTGACCAATATGATGCCAGCGTTTTTCCAGCGCACTTGGCTTGGTGCTTTTCAGCATTGGTGCTGTAAGCCTACACAGCTATTTGGGTCGTGGACCTCTGTCTGCAGGTGTTGTATCCACAAAACTTGTTTCTGGGTGACATGTTTCAACAATATCATGCCAGCATCGGGGTTTATTAAGATCAACGGGATAGGACGCGCATTTGTTTTGAACAAATAAACTTGCACAAACATATCTATACCAAGGCCGTCATTGGAAGAATTGAAAGCTACTCTGTCAAAGCAACAACGACGAGCCTTGAAAGAGAGTTCAGATGGCATGTACACCAAGAAGAAGCGTCCCGATGGTTCTACACAAGTGACTGGTGGAAAACGATTGCGATCTAGTGGGGCTTATCCACCGGAGTTTGGCAAGAAAGTTGCCAAACTTTTCCTGAAAGGTCATGATGTCCTTTGGATTTGGTTTACATCACTATTTTGATTTCGTTAGGGTAATGTTAACTAACAAAGACTTTTTCAATTCTTGGGAATTAAAGGTCGCCAGGTTGGAACACGCCCTCATCCATCCAGCCTGGTTGTTCTGTCGTGTCCTTTAGGTTCCAGCAGCGGCCCTTGCAGTGGATCGACAACGAGATCTGATAAAAGCAGGAAATTATGGATTCGAACCTGGTTTGACGTTATGCTGGTCAAGTGTCGCCCTGTAGATCTTTAACACCAAATCATGTCAAATCTGCATGTTATTTTAATACGTTTTGGGTAATGTTTGCAACTTCAGTAGTATTCTATATTTGGCCGGGTGAGGTCAACATGACGGGGGTGTCATCTTCTTGCCATCTTCATTTTAGAGGAAGACCAGAATGCCCCATAAATTATACAAAAGCAGTGAGATAACTTGCTGAAACTTTGCTATCTTCTTAAGTTTATATATGCCATCTGCCCCATCCATGGGAAGAATGACCAACTAAGTGTAGACAATACCCCTTGAAGGGACAGGTTGAGCCCCCAAAAAAAAACAGTAAGGGGCATTTTGCGCTTGTCTTTTCACTGGCAAAAATCACATAAGCGTTTTTTATCGTCGGGGTTTTCAAACTTGTTTCAAAAGTGAACAGGCCACTTTATCAATGGGATTGTTGGGAAATATGATGAAGTTGTGCGATATTAGTCCACCAAGAACATGTCCACGATTCGCATCATGCCCTGGATCTTGCTCGACCAAGTTGGCTCTCGAAGTCCCTTCCGGTGCTAGATATCGATTTCGACAAGTATGTGGTTTGTATAACCTCAATTGCCTGGACTCATGACATGCCAGGCCACTTGTTGAAATAAGTGTTCCATATTTGGTAAACCACTGTGGTCCTGTATGAAACTAAAGTCGATCTTAAGAAGTCTCTTGCATTGTCCTGGTTAAAGCCCACAATGCCTACACAACCAATAGCCGCGCCTTCTTGAAAACCGAAGATTTTTCAGAATGTAACAGGAAGAAGACATTCTTCAAGTACACGCTCGGCAAATATTGCCCTTGAACGATATATTAAATTAAATAAGGTCCCCAAGCGTTCTTCAACTATGGTATCTTGAAGCCAACACTAATCAGACTTGCCCTACTCATTTTACATATATTTAAGAGTTTAAGGTTCCATGTTGTGGGCAAGTAGAACTACCAATCACTTGCCATAGTCTGATGTCACACTGACCATTCCTCATGGGGTAGGCATGTTCAGCTTTGGGGGGGGTCCCTGTAGTTGGTACCTCCATTTGAAAAAAGACTGTTAAAACCTAATTAGTTCCAGCTTAATATAGCTGTATTTTAAAAGTTTATGAGCCCAACCAAAATATTTTGTGGAGACCCATGCATTGACACAGACGAAAACATATCCTATTTTTTGATGTGAGAACTTATTCAGCCATAATATATCAGATCTTAACATTACGTTTATCTTGGAGGGCACCCACAAAGTCAGTAAGCGCCTAAACTTTTTAATTGTTTTTTTGGGTTGGGTTCGCCTTCGCAGGGGGTCTCCATTTTATACCCATAAAAGGAAAGCCACTGAGTAAGCCCGTACAGTAAGAGAATAACTTTTATGATATTCTGGGATGTCTCAAATAAGGTGCCCTTTTCCCCATTTAAAGTAACCTTTCAGGAGCCAAAAAAGGGAACCTCAGGGTGAAATAGCAATTATCCCGTTGGCTTGCCATCCCCTAAAGAAGACCCCCGTAAAGAAAAAGTGCCAAAAAGGAACCCCCCCGGGGGGGGGGGGTTCCTTTTTGGGGGTTTTTAGGCTTTTTGGGCAAGCCAACGAGAAAATTACAAGTGTACATGTGAAACATTTCCATATGTAGAATTTGCTTTATCTATATAGACATATATACACTTAGATATGTGTGTACCTGAGTTGCAACGATAAGATATGCTAACAGAAAAATAAATGCCTACCCCAAAAGACCCAATGCAGCACCAACCACAATCCTAAGGACCAGCCACTTCACTGGATCCATGCCAATTTGCCCCAGCTACGTGATTTTTTGCTTCACCAGAAAGCTTTGGGGCGCTTCACTCCCCAGCCCGGCCTGAAACTTTAATTCGTAATCTTATCCTGCAGGTGAGCTGCGGGGTGTAGTTTTGCATTGAAATTCTTGGTAAATTAACATGATAAGCAAGTCCCAGGTATGAACATATCTGGACCATGCACCAATATTGTGTGGCACTAGCGTGTTGAGTTTGCTGTTTGTGGACACCGTATATTTTTGGGTCACTATAGCTCCATTATTCTGAGGTTACCTTAGCCGTCACCATTGTAGATATACAATTATGATTTTCAAACGGATGGTCCTCAAACTTTTCCAAGCTGCGTTGCCATGATGTGGCATTTCAATAGTATCCCAAGCTGCATTGCCATGATGTGGCACTTGAATATAGTATCCCGAACAGTTGAATCTCCAAAAAGGAGGCAAAAATTGCGTGGTGGGAGCAACCGGATGGCTTTTCACCGGGAATATCGAAAAAAACAAAATCGTGACAAATCGTGACAAATCGTGACGCAATTAAAACTTTCCCTTTTAAAATTATAACATTTGTCGGAAAAAGCGTGACAAATCGTGACAAATCGTGATTGCCTAGATTTCGAGAGGATTCCCCGGATTTTCCCTACAAGCCAAAATGTACCCCAATTTGTCGGATTTCTTTGGATTGGCTTCCCCAAATTTTCATGAATGTCGAACTTGGTTAGATTTATGACCCTGGTAGCTTGATAGATCCCAGAAGCATTTTTTGCTCCTTGACAGTTGTGGCACACAGCCACGGCCCCCCCACAGTGTCCTCATGCTGTCTGAAGCCGATTTGGTGAAGGCCTGACGTGGCATGGGCCAAGATGGTGATACATGGTCAGGGGCTTTTCCGTATATTGCCAACACCAGGCCTATTGATTTACATATGGAACCATTAGATGTATATTAATATTATATATTAACAAAGAAAATAATATAGTTTTTAGGCAAGCCGCGTAAAGTGCATCGATGTAATAAGCCTGCATGTGCACAGGCACTGTCAAGAAGCACGCATACCTGTATAGACATCTATATATTATATATGTGCAAAAGTTTGTGTATCATTAAATAAATATATATATATATATGTATATACTATATATATATATGACATATACATATATATTTATATATACATACGCAGCTTGATATGTGTTGCATTTGCCGTCTTTGAATGCACCACAGTGCCCTATCCCATATATCCATGTATGGTATCTATGCTAACATTGGGGGCGGGTATATTGATGGTAAATGTTACCGCATATAGAATACACTGATCCTATGAGTATCACTATCACCATGCTACACGCCTGCAGGCTGCCCAAGAGGCGATAGCTCAAGGAGAACGTCGGAAAAAACTTGTGCAGTCAGTGGTTGGGGTTGGTGCTGGGCCTACATCTCAAGTCCTTGCCAAAAGGGACCGGAGTGAAGTTCTTATGACCCCTTCCACACAAGTTACACCCGAGACTGTCAAGAAGCATTGCGAAGGGCATGTGACACCGCGGGCTTTGAGTTTTTCTGGTGCTGAAGGCATCCCTGGTGGGCAATAAGGTTTTCACATATCAACACGTGTAGTGATTCAACATCTTATATCAAGGGGTAGTTTTTGTTCCAGCTAGGCGTAAATAATTCGAGGGTTGTGTGTGTGCGTGCGTATTTTGAGGAAAGCTACATGTTCCTTCACTAGGTGCCAGCACTGTGTATGATCAAAGTCTGCCCCAAATATGTGTTGTTGGATTATGTACTTAAACGTTATTTTCCCTATATTTTTTACTTTATGGAATCCGTATCCCTGTCAGGTAAGGCGACTGCAGACGGATCTGCAGCTTCTGTGCATGTGGCTGTAGCGTCCGCTTTTAGTTGTGGGCAATTATACGTCACATTTTTGATTTGAACGTACTTGCAACAGTTTGTGTTTCTTCTTGGGCATTTACATCTTTAACTCCAAAGCTGGTTTCCCTCAAAATTCATTTGCTTTAAATGGGCACATCCCAGGAAGTTCCGCGTAATATCGATGTGACCATGCTGCAATCCCAGGCGACCCCCCAGCATGCAGCGATGCCACCCCCCACTCATGAACCGCAAGCTACACTGGCAGACAGCTTGGGAGATGATGATGAAAACATTGCGCCCCTTGAAAACACACCAGCATGGATAGCATGCATGAAGAGGCAGTCCACCGATGATCTTTCACTTGGTATGTTGAGCCCCAGTCCAGCCCCCCGGCCAGCAGAGTGTGCAGCAGGTCCAGACTCCATTCCCACTGAAACTATTCCGTATGCCCACCCCGCCCCTTCACCTGCAACAACACACACTCCAATCCCAACGGAGCCAGCACCACCCACACCACCTACAACACCAGCAGCACCCATGCCGGCCCGACCAACTCCAGCGCTTGAACCAGCACACACCACAGGGGATATTGGGGCCAGCACGACAGCTAGCGATGTTGGTACACCTGAGCAGTTGAAGAACTTTTGGTCTAAATTTAAAAGAGTGCCCCAGCAAGCAGTTTCACCAGCACCGCCCTTGCCAACTGCCTCATCGCCCAGCGTTGTTGTAGTTTTGGACACACCTTCTCCACAACCTGTGAACACAAGTGAAGGTGGGGATGCAGTTGCAACCGGACCAGCTGAGAGTGCGATGCCAGCAGCAGCAGAGCATCCATCACCGGTACCAAGCAGCACACCTGAGGGTCCCGCACCACCTCATGCAGTTGTGAGCGCATCACCCGAACCAGCAGCCCCAGCCCCATCTCTCGCAGAAAGCCCACCCCTAGATGGAAACACAGCTGCAGCCACCCCAATCCGTGAAGTTGCAACTTTGGGCACACCTTTGACAGCAACCCCACCGCCCCCTGACATCCCACCGACTGAACCTGACACCACAACTCCAGCACCGGCATCAGCAGGCAATGGCACACCTGTTGCAAAAGCACCCCCGATGCAACCCCCAGCACCAGCACAGACAGCAGCCCGAGAAACCGAAGATTCTGTGAAAGAGGAACGCGCGCGCTGGGGGCGATTCACCAGGAGATCACAGTCAAAGAAAGCCCCCCCTGAGATTGCTTTGAAGTTTCGCCAAGCACAAGCGGCCGCTTGGCTTGCCCATTCCAAGTTTTAAAGATCCTTTTAAACAGATATAGATAGACAGGTAGATATATATTTCCAAAAAACGGGGGGAGGCAGGGTTCCTTTTTGCCTTTTTCTGGGTGGTGTTCAGCTGGTCTTGCTGGTGCCTAGTGTGGTGAAATTTTTGTGTGTGTGTGTATTTGAGTGCTGCCCCAGCTGGTTGTTTATTATATTATTTGGTTGTCACAACCTCGGCATCTGCCCAGGATCCAAGTGGCCAGGCAATGAAGCAGTTGTACCGAGAATATTTGAACTCCAATGAGGACTGGTGGACATCAACGTTGATCGTTCGTGAATCCCAGACCTCAACCTCCACCGAAGGGGACACAAATGGTTACTTGACCAAAGCCGAATCTCGATATTGTATTGATTGTAGTATGTTTTCTTTGGCATACTCAAGTTGTTTTCTTTTGGGATGAATGTCGATGCAAGATTACCCTGATGTCCCATATTCTCATGTTCAGTAAGGATTTGATGGTGAAATACAACAATGACGTCAACTTGGTCGACGATCTGATCCGGCGGAAGGCTCGGGATCATGATATATATATATATAATATATATATATATATATTTAAAAATATTTTAATATTTATCAAGAGGTATATATATATATAGAGAGAGAGAGACACGCATATATCTGTACATATATATATATATAATATATATTTATACCCTATATATATATGATATAGAGAGAGAGAGAGTTCTTGAACAAAACTTGCAAGTAATGGGATTGAGATGGCATATAAAGTTAGGGTTTTGCCTTTAGACATCTGAATACCCTGTTTTGCCTGGCAGGTCCAACAAGGCAAGACTCGAAAACATCCAGAATTTCCTGACAGGGAGGACGGGTAACCAATAAATATGTGGTTTTTATTTTTCTTTTGGAAAGGATGTTGGACGAACAAAGGGCCCCTTCTGTGAACCACACGCACACACACACACATATATATATATATATTTAATGTTTGTCAATTCGTTTAAGAGATCACCCTTTTAGATGTTGACGCAGGATATGACCTTGTACCATTCATGGGTGGAATCCTACGACAAGAAGGAAGAAACTAATCAGAAAGGTATCGAAACCGTGCGTGAAGCTGAAGGGGATCACTCGCAAGCAGCTGTCGCTGCTGCTCGTGAAGATGCTGATGGTGGAAAGGGCAATGGTAAAAACGGTAGGCCAAAGCCAAAGCCCAAACCCAGTACAGGTCCCAAGACAAAGACCGACGAACAACTTGCACGCGCAGTTCCCTGTCCTTACAGTCAGGATGTGCATTCCTGCTTTCCTTAAGCACATATGTATGTTTTGGGTCTTATCAGTCTAGAAAGACACCTACATGTCGATTCAAACTTATATTGTGTATATATATATATATGCATATTGTTAAAGAAAATGCTATGGAACAGAATATCATCATAGACATACCCTGTGCACACACACACATACACAGACACACACACACAAACATTGAAAAAACCAAGGCTGTGGTCAAGGCCAATTCGAACCTTCTGGAAATTTCCCAGTGGAGGTACAAACTTGAGTCTGCAGGAATGTGGCTTGGCTTAGCGTCGGGGGTTTTACTAGGTTACTTTGTATCGAACCACATGCAACCGCCAGCACCGAGATACTGTGGATGTTTTTTTTGACATAAAAAAGAATCTCTGATAATTATTCATGTTTACCAATTATATTTATATTTATACGTAGAATCGCAGGCTTGCCAGAGACATTAGTTTCATTCCCTGGGATTAATCATGATGTAAAGCTTATCCACAACTCGTGCCTGCCTGACCCTGGGAGACCCTAAAACATAATCTCTATGGGCGTATGTATTTGAATATACTGAGCATTTTGGTGCAACCCAGCATGTGCACATGAGTTTGTTTAATTTCCTTTACTTTAGTTGGGAAATATAAAAATGTCATTCAAGCTTTCCGCAACAGTACGTGCAGTACAAATAATAGCGAACAATACATTCCACCAACTCCAAATTTCCACTTCAGAACCATCGAGGTCATATAGTGCATTTGTTAACGAGGACACATACTAGTGTCCCCAGAATTAGACAGACAAACTTGTAGGGAGGGGAAACCACTCTTATTTCACCAATTTTATTTATCAACGTAATATGCCCGCCCAATGCTGACACAGATCCATCTCAGTACTGCATGTATTATTATATACAACTTATTGTTACATACTTAAAGGCACACGTATCCTTGAGTGTGGTGTGTGTGTGTATCCGAGGGCGCAGGCAGTGGCAGCTGCATTTGTTGGGCAAATGGAGGAAGAGGCAAACAAGTTACGGGATGCAAAGAGCGCCCTTGAGAGTGCTTTGAGCAAAGGGGAGGCACTAAGTGATGCCACAGTAGCATTGAGCGATGCCAACAAGGCGTACCACACAGCAAGTTTGCAGGTCCGAAAGAACTGCTCACAGCCTAAGCCAAAGGCAAAGGCAAAGGCTTAGATATCTACAGTAGATTTGCTGCAGTGACTGTGTAGCTGGGAGATCGGATGTTTTTCCATTCTAGACAGCTAACAAACATTTGCACATGATTTTTTCTATCTCTTTCGAACCTAAAAGTTTTCCATATGCTTTGTGCTAAACCTTCTGCACAGTCAGAGTTTTGTATCTGGACCGGCACTTGCGTTTGCGCTAGCTAGCCACAAGGCCATGTCAATCTAGAACCTGCGTAGTTTTTTCACCTTGCACCGTGGGCATAGCGCATGTCATGTGGCAGTGGCAATGCAAGGGTGCTCCCGTCATTGCAATCCTATTAATTATGTGCTCGTGGCAGGTGTTGTCCCAAATTCACCGACCATTAATCTTTGATTATCGATGGTCAGTGCGACATGTGTGGAGACACCACTGTCACAGCATATATGCCAGCTCAGTACGTGCATGCCCGCAGTGGTATGTGTTTATATGTAACGTTGGGGCACACTAGGGCCAACAACGCCAAAAAGAAATTAATTGAGGTAGTTTTGTTTGTCTGCTATAAAATGTGTGCTTTTAAATAATGTTTGCTCTTGTGGTTGAAGGTCCTAATGTGATATTATATCCGTAGCAGTGGTGGCAAAACCGCGGGATATGAATCCCTCCATGGCACTGAGTTGTTGCTAGCTGAGCCTGCCAAAAAGAATTGGTTGAAATGGGTGATGCTAATTCGTGATCAAAACAATGTCAAAAACAACATTGGAAAAATATGGGATAATAATTGTTTTATATTTCCTTTCAACCGAATCGATTCCGATGACCCGTTATCCATTCAGAGAATCCGTTGGGCAAAGGTTGTTGGTTAAAACAGAAATGCCCCCCCAAAACACATCCGATTTAGAGCCCCCCCAGCTTCGTAAAAATAAGTAGGAAGCACTGTCCCGGCGCAGGTGACCACAGCTACGCTGACTACTTAATCTCTTCACTTGGCCGCGGTGTGTCTTGGCCGAACATGTGGGTCAACATGGGTCAACCCTTAGCTTAATGATTCATGATTCAAGGCAATTCCGACTTTTCTGGTGTCAAACAGCTACTCAGTGTCGTTTTTGACCTATTGCGATGTATTTGGTGGAAATGCACTAATCATTATGATATATGTCTCTGCTTAATGTTAATCACTGGGCTGTTGGGTCGGGATATCTTTCTTGTGGCCAATTGTCATTATATATATAATATTATATGTGTCAATGAACTTCACCATCAATAATTATCTAATAATACCGGGTTTATGACGCTGGATATTGCAAATTCTTTGGTAAACACACACACATATATATATAATATATATATGATATATATATATATACATAAAACCATACCTGTCCCGCCAAAGAAATATGCGTCCCTGGAGCTTGGAGCCTCATGCCGAGGCCACCTCATGCGCGGAGCTTCAGCGTGCCGCACAAGCCTCGGTCCAAGAAGCCCAGGCATTGAATACAAAATGGGATTGAAGGTCCTGCCATGGAAGGAAAGCCTCTGGGAATCTGTTGAAATATTCATTTGTGGTTTGGGGAAATGGTTTGGGGACAATGTCATAAAAAAGGGAATCTTTTCTGGGGATCCCTGGAGGCTCATGATGGCCATCTTAGTGAGCTCACTACAAGAATGGCCCGGCTTGGCTGCTACGGCAAGTACCCGGGGAACATCGAACGTGACTTGTGTACACTTCTGGAAATTCCCATTCAATCTCTATGGTTGGAAATCCCTGTAAGATGTGAACAAAACCGCAGAGATATCGAACTGAAGAAACTACCAGTGATCTGCCCGCACTTGCTCTACGAATACTTGCATGTCTCCTAGCAGCAGAACAACCTAGTGTTGGTGCTGTGGTTTACAGGTCAGTAACACGTCATATCCAAATACCGTCCACGAAAGGGAGAACCCAAGAGTTACGTATTTTTAAGCATTCACAAAATGGTCTAAGCAATTTGGGGGCGTCATTTACAAACCTATCTTGATATTCATGCTCCCATAAGGGTTGTTTCAACTAAAGCCCCAAAAACATCTTGTTGGACAATCCAGCCCTGGACCTGCCTGCACTGCAATGCAAGGCAAGTGGCAAGGTTCGAGATGAAGATTCGATATCGCAGTACTGGCGACACACGACTCAATATGGCTGGCACAAGCGGGACCATCCGGGGTTTGCAGTCAAAGCTGCTCCGATGGGCCTGTATGGAGATGACTGCAGGTATAACAAGTCAGGGGAAAAACTTGTGATTCTAAACTGCAATACCATCCTCCAAGAACCCAAGAGAACCTTGATCAGATTTTTGTATGTTTTTTTTTAACAGCATACTTGGGCCTAAGAAAATCTACTGAGGATTGTCCCAATAAAATGATTATTTTTTCCGCTAAGTCAAACAGTGGAGGCTTGGATTTGTGTCGCTTCCCCGTCTTCGCTTTAAGGGTAAGCCGGTTGGTTCCTGACTACTCCCTGACCAGGGTGTATGCACTTTTGGTATGGAGCTTTAAGGCTGTTCAACAGTTCAAAGTTTCAACATATGGCGTGTTCACTAAAGATGGAGTAACTACAGTGTGCAACTAACTAAATATGTTTCCAATTATCAGCTTGGAGTGCCCCTGCAGGCTCTTCTGGATGGACATCGCCCAAGTGTGGACTTTGAGGGGAAGCCTTTGCCTTCTTGGCTTGATCGGCTGAAAGGCAAGCCTATCACAGGCCAGTTTCCTTAAACAAACATGATACTTAAGCGTGAATGCACCCTCAACAATTGATTTTATAAAGATCTAGTTGTTCATTGTGGATTGTTTCTATCTCCGAAATGGGGGGAGTGGGGAAGACAGAGAGAGAGATATATATATATGATGTTTCTTTTATATTATATCATTTATACATAAAACAAAACTGCTGTGTTCCAATCCCATTCCCTATTCACCCGGTCCTGATACAAGTGCATCATCCGCAGTTGTTGCCATGGGTGCTTCTCCTCAGGTGGTCGGGCAGCATTAGTTGAACTGCGAGGGGATTGGAAATTCCAAAGGGAAGCTTTCGCGTTGAAATGCCACTGGACGGCAAAGGATTGTTGTCATTTGTGCACTGCCCGAAATCCTTCTGACCCTGTACGAAGAAACAGGCATCTCAATGTTCAGTATTGGCAACTTTTTTCAAAGTATGTTGGGATCCTGTTAGGTCACCAAATTTTAGATATTTTTTCAACTTGGATCAGCCACATGAGTTAGGTGGACACAGCTCGACCGTACCTTCCCAAGAAGATCATGGGCCAATGCGATGGCGTCATGTTTCAGGTGTGGTTTTCATCACACACACGTACACACACACACATATATATATATATTATATAATATATACATACAAGGGTGCATATATATATATACATATGTATATACTTATGAATGCAAAAATCGATCTTGACAT